ATCCACAGCAGCCTACCTGTAAGCGACACTCCCCTCACCACAAAAGACCTCCAGAATGGCTACAATAGCGGCTGGTTTGTCACTCAAATCACGCACTTTCTCCTGTCCTGAATTTTGACCCTAGTTCTTTTTCTATCTATGAAACTTTAACATGAGCTCCAGGAAGTGATGTCAGTGATTATATACTTCTCTTCCAGAGTTGCTGGTCAGTGCGCCTGCCACCCTGAAAATACACACACACACACACACACACACACACACACACACACACACTGAGAGAGAAGCCCCGCAGAGGAAAATGCAGAGAGTTCCAGGAAGCACAACCTAAAAAACTTCTTTTGCCATTGATATTACTACTATGACAATTCGTTTCTGTTTTTCTGTGGCTTACCTGGGAATATTCGAACAATCTACACAACTTTCTGCCACCCAAAAGCCCCATCGTCAGACCCAGATGAAAGCCAAAGAAGATGGCATCTCTCAGACCCAGATGAAAGCCAAAGAAGATGGCATCTCGCCACTGCACTTGCATGCTGACACAATGTACCTGTTTTCACAAACTTCATTCCCAATGGACAACTGGTTGTCAGAGACAAACTAACTCAGCCTATGCTTGGCTCGGGCACACACAAAAACCTTGTTCTCCACCAAGGGTTGGGTGCATTCAGTAGTTGTTATCTGGCAGCAACTAAATATCCAATGGACCCACTTGCTCCTTTCCTAGGCCAGTGTGGCTTCTCCAGATTCTTTAGTTCACTGTCTGCCCTGAATGATCCTATCATCTCCTGGGCAAAGTTTCTGTGCAGTCAGGCATGGAGTAGAAGCACCAGCACCTTGCAAATCCCATCTGAATCCACCAGGGCCTGGCCTGTGTTGGCTGCAGTGAGCTGGAGAGCAGTATGTGTGTGTGTGTGTGTGTGTGTGTGTAGGGGGCTGTGTCCCCACCGCAGTCTGTTAACATCAGACTCAAATCCTGTATCTGCTGCTGCCACTGCGGCTGCTTTGATGTCTACCCACTGAAGCTTAACTTGATCCCTTTGAGCACGGTGACTGCCCTCCTGCCACCAACACTGACACCAACACTGACAACCTCGGGGGCCATGACAGCTGAAAGGAAAACCACTCCCAAACCAAATGCCGAGAACAGCAGTTGTGGCTTCGGGAGCCAAGGAGAGAGCTTCGAGGTGCACAAGGCCTCTGTTTTGTCTCTAGCTCGTTCTTCCAAGTTTGCCTCCTGGTCCTTCCTTCCAGGCCCCCCAGGCTGAGCAACAGCAGCCTTAGACAGAGGTTACTGAGGTGCCCCAGTGAGGGAAGAAAACAAGTCATGAAGAGCTTCGCAGAAAAGCCTTTGAGGAAGGCGGATACTCGGCACAGTTAGATAAAAGGAGATGGCGAAGAAAGAGGCCAGCTGGTCATCCAGGGGTAGGTAAGAAGGTAAGGGAACAAGAAGGGAGGCCAGGGCAGACTTCGTGATGCTGACTTCTTTAGATCCATATGCAACTGCTTCTTGGGGGTCTCCTATGCCCTTTAGGTCTTCACTTACCTCGGTCTACACTGAGGTAAGGAGAGGATGAAGGGCGAAGATGGAGATGAAGACAAAAACAAAGGTGAAGACAAAAATGGAGATGAAGATGAAGACTTGCTCTCAAACCTGAGTGAGCAGAAGAGTCGGCTGCAATGCGTTGGTAAGCCTACACGTGCCCAGAAACTTGGCCCACAGAGCTAGAGGGTGCTAAATCTGTGACGTGAGACCACACGTTCAGGTGGTCTCCACACAGGAGGTTGCAAAGGTAGATTGCTGCCCCCGAGCACTGTGTAACACAGATGGGGTCTAAGCAGACACCCATCAAGCATCATAGAGCATACATAGCCATCAGTTGCTCTTTTTTGAGAAATCCAGCTCGATGTGGTTGATGTAGTAGTTCACAAACAGACAGGGATTAGATTCATGAACTTAAAACTTGCAAAGGGTCAGCCCTCTCAATCATCTCACTCAAACCTCTTGATTGAGCAGGTTCAGGGGACCACAGAGCACAGTGTCCCTGAGATGCCGCTGTGGGATACAAGACAATCACCACACAGGTGAAGAAACTTTCTCGGTGCTGGGTGCAGAAAGGATGCTGTCACCAGAAACATCATAAAACCGGTGTTTCTGACACTACCATGTACATTTTTATCTGCCACATTTGTGCATTTCTGTGACTCCCTGCACTTCGTGATTCACCACCTATAAGAGGGGTAAATGCCATGGCAAAACCCAAATAATGCACCGCTCTGAGGCAGACAGCCAGCTGCTAATAAGAGTGACACCTGAGTATCATTTAAACTGCCATTCATAGCTCAGTTGCAGAAAAGGACTGATTTGTAAGAAAAACAAATTCTACCCAACATAAAGCCAAATCCGGGATTCCATGGGGCTAAAGGATGGGCAGATACCCCATCTCATTGTGAGAACATATAAAGATGGAAAAAAAAGAAAAAATGAGAACTTCTCAAGAAAGAGAAAGGACAGGCATGCAGAAGCAGCCTCCGTGTGTATCTGAATATTATTGCATTCATGTAACACTCTGCCATATTTCCATTAATGCTGCAAGAGAATCAGTTATTAACAGAAGATACTGCCTGCCCTGACACCAATGGGCTGGTTAACAAGATAGGCGTCAAAAGGGAGAAGGAACACCCTCCTCCCAGTGTTCAGGCCCTCCATGCCAGGCTGGCAGGTCCAATGAGCACCCCCGCCCACACCCCCTGCACTCCCTGGTAAATAATGAGAGGGCACACAATGAATCTGGTGGAATAAGACTCAAAGGGTGTAATTATCTCATTTGGCTAGCATGAATGGCTGAATTTTAAAGATGCTGGAGACCCTGGAGATCAGGAGGCCTGTATTCGGGTTTTTTTTTTTTAAGTGACTCATTCCAAGAGGATGAGTAAGCTGTCCGAGATCATCCCCCTAGATGGGCAGAATGGGACTTTCATTGGAGGATGCTGTTTCCAAGAAATACAATGAATGGGGCTGAAAGAACAATAGGGCACTTTAGCAAATGGACATGAAGATTCTTTATGCTCTACAGTTTGGAATTTATATCTTTCTAGTTTAGCACCTTTAAATTTCAGTTCCTAGTCAAGGCGGATGTTCAGAACACCATGTTTTGCTTTGTTTCTTTTATTGTTGCTGCTGCTATTTTTTATTTTCTCTTTCTTTCTTCTTTTAATTTAAGACAGAGATTCCCCAAACTTATTTGGTCTTCTACCCCTTGTATAGGAGAAAAAAATCACTGAGCATCCCCTGGAAAAATCTACCTTTTGTAAGCAAATAGATAGAAAGTGCTCCCCAACTTCATCTAAAGCCTCTGTCACCTCCCGTGATTGTTTCATTGTCCTCCAACGGCCAGTAGGGGAGAGAGGGTGGGTAGGAGATATTTCATCCATTTGGGAATACACAACAAACATACGTCAAATAAGACTTGGAAAACTCCTATTTCTTCCCACCTGGCCTGTCGCAATAATTCACTATAAGTAATACACTTGCCAACATCCTAAACCAATCCCATATACTCCAAAACAGAAGAGCTAGAATGTCATCTGTTCGCTGCTTGTGTGTTTGGCTGCTGGATTTTTGGTTTTTGTTTTTATTTTTTGGTCTCTTTTTTTGAAAACAAATGCATTCTACTCCCACTATTGTGCAAATTTCAGAAACAAATACATTCTGTTTAAGTACATTTAGTTGCTCTCTTTCGTCTCCATCTACCAACATCATTTGCTAAAATGCCCTGTTGTTAAGATTACAGAAAAGAGGATGCCCTGGGACTCCACAGAAGACGTGACTCATTGTACCAGACAACATTCCCACCAGCATGGGTGAGCATTCCTTTTGCTCCCAGAGAGTTCTCAGTAAACTTAGAATTGAACTTCCCCATGACCCAGCAATACTACCCCCAGGACTTAAAAACACTCATTCCAAAGGGCCTATGCACACCATAATTCAATGCTGTGCTTACCACAATAGCTAAGATATGGAATCAACCTAGGTGTCCAATGACATAATCATTTTATGAAGATGTGGTATATATACACAACGGAATACTACGCAGCTGCAAGGAACGATGAAATCATGCAATTTGCTGAAACCTAGATGGAACTGGAAAATATCATGTTGAGTGAAGCAAGCCAGAAGAAGAAAGGCTGGGTGATCTCCCTTATCTCAAATATACAAAATACCGGATGAGGAAATGTATTGTAGTAAAGAGGGGAGGCCTAGATCACTCTTGCCCCCAGTGTTTAGAGTGGAGAAGGACAGAGAAGGAAAGAAATCAAGGGGGGTGGAGAAGAAAAAGAGAAAAGGAAGTTCAGGGCTTTGGTTATACTGGTAATATGCCTCTCAGAGGACCCAGCAAGCTACCAAGAGTATCCTGCCCACACGGCAGATCCTGGCAAGCTATCTGTGGAGTATTCGATATCCCAAGAAAGTAACAATAACGGGTCTCATTCCCCTGACCCTGAAAGAGCCTCCAATATGGCAGAGTTGGGAAAGACAAGTGTGGAGAGACTGCTAAAATCTCAGGGCTGGGATGAATGGAGATGTTACTGGTGCCCGCTAGAGTAAATCGATGAACAATGGGATGTCAGTGACAGTGACACAGTGATGGATGAGTGTATAGTCATATATCCAAAACACAGACTCAACAACACTGAAAACATGAGATCTAAGCCCCAACCACTGGAACTTTGTGATGTGCCTGTCAAGCTCCCAGGTGAGATAAACTGGGTTCTGTGTGAGGAGTAGCCCTCACGGGTGGAGGGAAGTTGACAATGGTGGTGGGATTGGTGCTGAAGTATTATATGCCTAAAACTCAACTACCAATAAATTTGGAAATCAAAGTTCTTTAACTAATATAAAATTTTTAAAAAAGAGAGCAACAAATATGCAACTGAAAAAGAAGAAGATAGGACTGGCGACATTGAAAGCTCACACACGCCACATCCTCCCATTGACTTACCCCGAACCGCACGTGTTTCAAGACCTTTCCTGCAGGCTGAAGTCCTCCCTTTCTCGCTTTCTCACGATCTGTAGCAGCACGACTTGGGAGGCCTCAAAATCAACTCTCATTTTGCTCCAGTGTGCTGCAGGGAAACAAAACAAGACAGAATGAAAACGCCCCTGCAAGCAGTTCATTGAGGTTTGGGGCGGGGGGGAGGGGTGGGAATCCCTGGCTTTTTTCAGGTGTATATTTTATAACCTCCAACAAGTATGTTGATTAGCAGAATGAAACTATCACTGAACTGATCTCCATGTGGTTCTCTGAAATACTTGGAGATCAGGAGCTGGGGAGAGAGCAAGCGCACAGAATACCTACAAGGGTAGGTATTGCATCTGGGAAATTGTGATATGTACCAGTGGATGCGCCGCCCAATTTCAGGTTGACTCATTGAATGAAAGGATTTTTAAAACTGAAGGTCCTGATATTGCAAGTGAACCAACGTGGCGAAAGTTCTGTTTCAAACTAAAATGTTCATCTGATTCTTGTCATCACAGATTCCGGATGCTAGCACGCACATTGATATTTTGTGCTAACAAAGGGAGACTAGCACTGAAGCAGGAAAGAGACAAAGTACAAGAGAGAGAAAAGTTTCCATTTTGCACTACAGACATTAATCGATACACCAGTTTCCATTCTTAATCAATCTTGATAAATCCATTCCCTACCAGAGTTGAAAAACAGCAGTTATTTACACACTAGATAAGAAAGAAATAAATGGTGCACGTCTAGCTTACTCGGAGCAGCGGATAAAACTTACACATGAGAAGTATGGGTGACATGGTTGTTCTAGAAAATTCTCTACCTTGTATCCTTCAAATACTAATTTGTCTCAGGGTGGGTTGTCCTATCATGATCACACAAACACACCCACTTTGGGCTTTTGACAGGGCCCACTGGAAGTTTGGAGATTGTGTTGAATAGATGTCTACATTCTTTGGCTGTTTATGAGTTCTTCCTCATTTATCTGGAAACCATAATGGAAGACACCATGACTAAATTCTACATCTTTCTACAACAGAATTGCCAAAGTTGCTGAGGCCTTATCAAAGAACCCTTCATGCAGTGTTCCAATTGGTAGCAGAAATGTTTTTACGCCTCATTCACTTGTCATATGATGAATCAATTCCTTGAAAGCCTTGTATCCCTTTATAGAACACACGACATTTTTCAAAAGGACTTCTGTGGAGTTTGGATATTTGTGGTAAGATTCATATGGGCACTTCACATGGAGGAGGAGAGAGCAGCTCTTGGTGAAAGTTTAAGCGGATGTGTTGTACTGAAGGCCGTTATAGTTTCAGTCAAGATGGGAAAGCTAGTGCCTGAAACTGGCAATGTAAAATGTTCTTTCACTGGGGTTATTGGTACCCACCGAAAGTGAAGTTGTAATGATTTTGTGAGTGTTTTGGTGGGAAACGTAACTTAACTCCCACTCATATGTGGAACAGTAACAAAGTGACATCAACCAACGTGAACCAGAAAGTTCCACAAGTGACAAACTCTAGTTTAGGATTTGGTAGAAGCAGAATTTGCAGAGAGGACATGGAGCAAGCTCTCCACCAGTTAATGGTGTCCATCTTCTCTTTTTTTCTGGGAAGGGGTATTGGTGCTGGTTTTGAGTCGTAACGCTTTGGGGCTCAGGGGCTATTCCTGTCTCTAGAGGCCATGAAGTTCTGGGAATGAACTGGAATCAGCCTCATACAAGGTAGGCATCTTACCCCCTGTATGATCTCTTCATTCCTCAGTCTTCTTTTTTTTTCCCTCAGTCTTCTTTTAACTCAAATAAAATAATATACATAAAGCTGCATTTCTGCATTTCTTGTGTTTGTTGCCAATTTTATAACCTGATTTTTTTTGTTTTTGCTTTTTGGGTCACACCCAGCGTTGCACAGGGGTTACTCCTGGTTTTGCACTCAGAAATCACTCCTGGCGGTGCTTGGAGTACTTGGGGGACCATATGGGATGCTGGGAATTGAACCCAGATTGGCCGCATGCAAGACAAATGCCCTACCTGCTGTACTATCGATCTAGCCCCAAACCTGATATTTTCTAACAGGAAGGGGTCACTGTATGTAATTCAAACTTTTTTCCAAAGGAAGCCACTGGCCCAGGTTTCTCCTTCAAGGCACACAGTAATTGCATCTGTACTTTGACTCTGGGTTTAATTTCTCCTACCTGCTGCCTCTGGGTGGTCAGGAAGTCACAGAATGGAGTAGAATGTGGGGGTATTGGAAAAGTTCTCGTGAAAGCAAAATATTCTCTCATGTGTGTTCTTTCTCTCTCTTTCTCTCTCTCTTGCTTGCTCGCTCACTCTCCCTCTTTCTGTTTTGTTTTCGCCCTAAAGAAAGCTATTCATTTCGAGCTTATATTTTTGTCACCAAGAGGAGAAAAATCAATGAGGGCGAGGCTACACAGCTCCATTAGGAGTTGAGGGTCAAGCCCTTCACACTCAGGAGCAGGGCTTAAACACATTGCTGAAGAGAAAAGAAATTAAGCGAAATCAGGACTCAGTTCTGTAAGACATGGTTTTCCATGCTGAGCTATCCTGATCGGGTATAAGGACTTCAGAAGAATCCATTTGGGGCTAAGAGCAGACCCTCAACTCTGCACAGTGCAACAAGGCAGAGGCGATTTTTTTTTTATCAAACACAAACCACTGAAAATTTCACCAGCCTTTTCAGCAAGAATTCCCATACATATCCTCCTTTGACAAACTGCTCATCATTGCTGCTAGTAACAACAAGAAAAAACCTCCTTGAGTTTAATCTCCTTTATCTAGCACTCTTATTTGCAGTTATAAATAAGGGGGATAATTACATATATAAGCCTTATCAATTCCATGTAAACTCCAAACTATATGAACAAAGAATTGCCTTAAAAGTGTTATTAATGACAGATGAGACAAGATTATCACCAGAACGTGATCCAAGTATAAAATGAAATCTAATGTCATCTGAAAAAATGCCTTGAGTTTAATCTCCTTTGCCAACCCCCTCCCATTTGCAGTTGACATTATAAATAGCAATTAGACTGAAAGTTGAGATGGGAGGAAAGAAAGCCAAAGTCCTAACACAGATCTGCCACATGAGACTGAACACTGGCTAGATAAACCAAGATTTCACTCTAAATAGTATCCTTACAGGGCTCTTTCATTTGATAAGCATTTTTGTGATAATTTTTGAGTATTCCAATTTTTCTCGTATCAGCAGCTCAGCAGTGACTATTGATGACCATGAATTTCATCAACATCAATCAGAACCAGTGACTAAAAGTCAAAAAGATTCATTTGATCTTAATGTTATGGTTTTCATGAATTTTTAAAACTTCCATAGGTTTTTACATTCAAGTTGTAAGGTCCTAAGAAGAAGCAGCTCCTTGATTATCAAAGAAAGGGACATGAAGTGGCTTTTGTAATTAGTTCACAGTTACATTTCGACTTGCTTCTCCATGTTCCTGAGAATATGGAATATATTCATATACCATACCAAATAAAATACCTTCAAAGACAATTACACCTTACATGATCTATTAGGAATAATTTTAGTCTAAAATTTAATCATAAGACACAAATTGCATAGGAAGAATATAACAGGCTTGTGGTGGAATATTACCTCGGTAGGGGAGTAGGTACTCTGTTTAATAAATGGTGCTGGGAAAAAAAAATCAGCTCTTCTTTGGAAAGAAGCACAGCTCAATCTTTTTTTAATTTTTCAGGTCACACCTGGAAGTGCTCAGAGACTACTCCTGGCATGGTGCTCATGTGATGCCAGAGAACAAATCCAGGCCCACTGCATGCAAACTATGCACTCAGCCCACCGAGCTCTCTCTCCATTGCCCCCAGCTCCTCATCTTACATTATTCATAAAGAAAATTCTAGTAGCACATAAATATGTGTTGATCCAGAAATGCATATAGACCATGTTTATCATATAGATCATTTTATACAGTAACACAGAAAATAATCAATCAGGAAAGTGTATATAGGCTATTATCAAGACACTGGATGTTTAAGTAAAATGGCAAGGCACTTGAAATCTTGGAGGAAGTAGTAAAATGTGTTAGGAGATCATTCAATTTGTGTGAAGAAAACACCATAAGGGGACAAGGTTGAGAATAGAGCCCTATCCAGATTTTTGTAAAAATGAGGCAAGATCTAATACATGGACTAAGATGTCCCATGTAAACAGTGATAAAAGGAAACTAAGTTAAAATTCTGGACTCATTTCTAAGACCAGGCTGACAAGTGATGAGAAAGAGACAACAAGTTCAGATGGACCCTTCCAAATTTCCAAGTGGATCCATGCTAGTGATGGATTCTCTCCCAAATGGAACAAGCTCAGGATAAGCAAGAGTCTCAGAGCTTCATTTTTCCTTGTTCCCTGTGAGATACCACTAAGACATCTTAGTGAAAAGACGCACAAGTGACAGTCACCGGCAGCCTCTAAGATGATCTGAGGGAGTCTGTCTCTTAGAATTCAAACCCTGGTCTCATCCTCTGTCTTTGGATATAGACTGGGTGTAGACTCAATGACTCATGTTGAGCATAGAAAGCCCTGCAGAGGTAACACAATGCCACTTCTAAGACGATAGACACAGAGACCTTGAGTCCTGTACTGGATGCCTGTGGGGAAGCGGAGGGCATGGCATGCAAGGCTGTGCAGTAAAGGGGTGTCTGGGGTGTGCTTGCGTCTCTCCAGGTCTCAACCATCCCACCCACCTCCCCACGTTCCCAGCTCTAGCTGTCGTCAAGTCTGGGTCAATGGCTTGACGAGAACTCCTGAAAGGCCTTGAGCCAGAGACACTCATCTATGAGCTTTCCTGATTCCTACTCACCATAACTGTGAGATCATCCATAGTTGCTGCCTGAAGTCACCATATTTGGAGGGAACTGGCTTCATGGTAACCGTCACACGATACAGTTATGGCATGTAAGGCTTTGTTCTAGGAATTTTATATAACATTCAGGGAAAAGGGGTCACACATGGCAGGGGTCAGGGGCTACTCAGCTCAGTGTCCAGGGGACCATGCAGTCCCAGGGACCAAATCCAGAGATCCTGTATGCAAAGCATATGCTCCAGCCCTTTG